ACAAACAGTTATGAAACTGAAAATTATGCCTGGGGGGAACTGAGCTTAGACTTCTAAAAGGGCTGTTGGCTTCTGACCCAGGAGAATTGAAAGTGGAAGTCTCTAGATTCAAAGGAGCTCATCAAGATTTCTCCCTGGGCACAGAAGCTTTGGGAAGCAAAGTACCCTAAGCACAGTCAGGAGAATTCATGTACATGTTGTGATACAGGACTTCCCACAGCCATTGGAATAACTGACATTTATCAGGACTAAAGATAGGATCTGTAGATTGGCCAAAAACAGTTTTAGTAGAAGTGGTTTTAAGTCAAAACTGAAACAAATCTACCCTTAAAAGAAGAAAAAAAAAAAGCAACAACTGTGGAAAGTAAACATGACTTTTCAGCCAGCTCTCACTGACAGAAAGAGAATGCAATTCTGATTTAAACAGGACACTAATTTATCTTCTTGCATGTTCTGCCTCATTTGCTACTTCCTTTCAACATTTCTGAGATATATTTCTGGCCTTCAGTTTAAAACACTTTCCATCGATATCTTATTTTCCACAGGATGAAGTATCTTCCTTCTATCCACTGAGTGAACTGGGGAGGGGGGCAGGAAAAAAAGTCAAAGGAAACTTGCAAGCAAGTGAATGAAGATTATTACTTGGCTACATGGTTTGATTCAATTTACACTCTTAGGTTTGAGGTCATGCAGTACCTGATGACTACTAGCAGCTTGCTGTGCTTAACTGGAGCCTGCCTTGCTCAGCACATAAATGTTTGCTGATCCTGTTGAAGCACACACTGAGGACCTTGTGTTTCATTAGCACTTGGGAAATGAACACCCTTCCTTCCCCAGCAGGACCTTTTCTGACCCACCAGTTTCAGTCCTTTCTCTGCCTCTCACATCTCCTGCTGTCTTATCAGATAATCAGGCAGGGCAAAGGGATCATTTAGAAGGGCTGTACTTCATCCTGCTCAAAGAAGGATCAACACTGAATTCAGACTACATTGCTCAGGGATTTATCCAAAAAAGTGCTGGAAATCTGTGAACAACCTGCGTCAGTGTCTGACTGCACTCCCTGTGGTGTGACTTTTCACTCACTTCCTGCTCAGATTTTGGCTAACACATGGCTCATGCTCTGTGTTATTCCCTGATGTATGCTGGGGTCAGTGCTGTTCAGCCAAAGCAAAGGCAACATGTATGCTCGACACAGTGGCCAGAAAGGACTAAAGGTCCTTATGCAGCCATTGTCACCTGCAGCCATTGTCACCTGCAGCCTGCTGTCCCCTGCAGCCATCATCTCTGCCTGTTTGTCTGGCAAAACCTGCTGACTCCTGGAATGTAGATAAAATGTCCAAGTTGGAAGGTGTCAGCTTACCCAAACAGTTTTTGAAGTGGCTGCAGCAGCAGCTGGATTGCTGAAACTTTTGAGCCTCACAGTGTGACACCTGTGCCATGGCAGAGGAGGAAGAACCAGAGCTCTCCCCAGCAGCCGTGTTTTGCTCATAGGTGCATGATTTATGAGTTGTGAGCTATGGATAAGGGAGCTTGTGAATCAGAAATCAATCAATTAAATCCACGCTAGGGTCTCTCCTGTTCCTGCCATCCAGCTCCAAGTCTAATTTGTTTTCCCCATCACTGCTGGGATCTATGTAATCTGCAAACTCCATGAAAGTCTTTCTATGTCAAATATTTAGCTTCTCTCTTCCCTATATTTGCATCGGCTTCCTTCTCACTGCTGTTTGGAATGACCTTGAAAAACAAGCTTAGACCTTACTGATGTAATCCAGACACAAAACTGCTGGGAACGTTTTCCTCTTCTTTTTGAAAGTTCCATAGAGATAGAATATGCTTAACATAATAAAGCATAAAATATTGTTCAAAAGCATATAAAAGAAGAAAGAGAGGAAGGAAGAAAGAAAACTCTTTTTAAAACAAAGCAAAACTCACATTACAAACATTTCTTCCACATTACACAGATTTCTTCTTTCAAAGCAAAATCTCTAAGCCTTTCCAAAGAAAAGGTAGCCAAAGTTTTAAAATAAATTCTAAAGAATACATTTTTCCTAACCTCATCTTTAGAACAACAGAACTTTGAGGGCTAAAGACAACCTAAGATAATTCAACCGAAGACAAACCAGAGATACAGAAACTGTCAGCTCCAGCAGTATTAGCTTGGCAAAACTATGGGACCTCTGAAATGAGTCTTAAATTGGCAAATGCTGAGCAATTTGAGAAACAGTCAGATATAGGAGAGTCACATAATGAATATACTCTGTATGTTGGCAGGGTGTGTGACTGCACATCATATAAGAGAGATGAGATGCACATTACATCAAATACATTACATTCAAAGCAGCTATATATCTGTCAACTGCACATTATTAAAAAGGAAAGAATGATGCAACTTCACACTTTCTGTTAAATGTACTGGAAAGAAAAAGTCCCTCGTAGCACTACTTAACACCATGTGAAAAAGAACCAAAATATGCACAATGTTTGTTGTGTTCAAAGAAACCTCTCCTAAGTGTTAGATATCCTTGATAAAAATGTAGAATATTGTACCAACTAGATACTATGAACCAACCAGATGCTAATTATTGCCTATCACACTTATTTAAATATCTCCCAAATGCAGAATGCTTCACTAACTCCCACTCACTGAAGCATATGTGTGATGGTGGTCTGGATGCACTTTGCTACCTTCTGTACCACCAGCTTGTTAGCAGAATGATCAGGGATGAACTGTTCTCCTTTTCTTTCTTTATGCTTTGATCAGAAAATGCTGATCTGTTAAAACTCAACTTGGTGCAGAAGCAGGTTAATTTTGAAAAGACAAGATTTTTCATTAAGCCAGTAAAAAGCTAATCTAACAGCAACAAAATTGGCAGACTTGTCAGTAGAAATATCTGAACAGTCTGTCAACTTGCATTCTGCACACATGTGGGAGTTCTCGTGGTTCACAGAACAATGTGAACGTGTTTCATGCTTTTTGTGAAGAAATGGAAGTTCAGTTTCAACCTTCTAAGGAAGGGAACACCTCTGAAAATTTTTCTTTCAGAAGACAGAAGATTTCCTCCCAGCCAAATCATGCGCCAGACCCTTTCCAAATGTCTGCACTTTGCACATTTGTCAGCAGCAGAAGGAAGAAATACAGTCTGGGAAATGGCTTAAGCTAGGCACACACAGGCCCACCAAAACCACTGGGGAAGCTTACACAATAAAAGTTAGATTTTCAAGTTTAGCTACCAAGTCTCTGGGAAAGCAACAGTAACAACATTATTTTTCCTATAATCAGACAATGATAAAATCAGCAAACTTTTGATGAGAGATTCTGGGCATAATTAATGTACTTCAGTAATAACAAACAGCTCACTGCATGCTAACAGGTTTTTTTAACTATATGCATATCATACAACCTTGGTTAAATTGAGGGATCCTGTATAGGTTTTAAAATGCCTTTTTGGCAAATTCAGCACATCAAAGTTTAATAATAATAATAATAATAATAATAATAATATAGACAAAAAAAAAA